ATATATATATATGCATATATATATAAAGTTAATTTAATTAAATCCCATGATCCATTTTTAGTACACCAGATACGCGACTAAAAAAAGGGTTAGACTAGAAAAAAATATTGATTAAAAAAAAACCGATTACATTAATTCTCTACAAATATTCTTTGTTTATCTTATGATAGTCTGAATGATGTAAATGTTACAATAAGTTTATAATAACTTGAGGTGTTAAATAGTTTATAATAACTTGAGGTGTAACTACGAAAGACCATCAATACATGTTGCAAAATTAGTATATTTCAAAAGTGTGCTTTTCGAAACATAAAACTATTATGATATTTATAAACAAGTTTATGATCTTCATTGGTAAACGTATCTTATCATTATTAAAACGAAATCGTTACACATTAGTTTTTTGAAGTGCAATAATTCAACTATACGACAATGTTGATCACGTTCAGTTCGATATCTTTTATATATATATACACATCGCGATAAAAACTGTTATCGAGAACTACTCGAGCTGGACCTTGTGTAACGACGATGTCGATGTCGTGGGTTTCCTGGTGGACTCCGTGATCGAGTTCTTATTCTACGCCGTGGTGGTCTCGGACTTCTACGACGATTCATAAGCGGTGAACGTCTGCGATAACGTGGCGGTGTGTTTCTACCACCACCTCCCCATCGCGGTGGTGCGCGTCTTCCCATACCCGGAGACATGCGTCGCATTGGTAACGGTCGAGGCTTCGGTAATAATACTGGAGCAGCCGTGATTTCTTGTCCATCTATTTGTCCTGTGAACAGATCAATGCAAAATGCATTAGTATGACAATAAACTCACTGAGAACGTGTTCTACTTGATGTTTGCAATAGCTAGTATCGTTTATTTTTGTTTATTTGATAAACAAAGATAAAATGAGATTTCAAGAGTATTGCAAACGCCAAATAAAACAGGCAAAATGATGACATTAATTGATGTTTTACCTCCATCCATATGTTTCATGGCATTTTCGGCTTCATCTGCAGTTTCAAATTCGACATAAGCAAATCCTCTTCCTTGATTCGGATGAAGCTTATCCAATGCAAAGTCGACCATCTTTATTTGGCCATATGTCGAAAATATCTCCATGACATGATCTTTGGTAACATTCCGTGTTAGATGACCAATATGTATTTTTGTTGGTCTAGGAATCGGTGAACGTTCCCTACGCTTCCTACGAGGAGAAGGAGATCTGTAAAATAAAGAAAATTATTAGTAACTTACTAATTGATTATAAATGAAAGAGGAAATATTAAAGTCAACTTTACGACAAATATAATACCTGGATCGTCCTTTTTGTTTAGCTTTTTCAGGAACAGTATTGTTTCCCTTCTTCCTTTCCTTATCACGGTCTCTGTCCTTGTCTCTATCCCTTTCCCTTTCTCTTTCTTTTTCTCTTTCCTTTTCCTTATTGTCATGTCTGCGTGAAGCATCAGCGCTTTTGCTACGACTTCTTTTTCTTCCTCGATCTCTGGAACTGGCTGAAGAGCTAGGTGAACTACTGGATGAGCTACTAGAAGAAGAGCTTGATCTGGAACTGCTGCCACTGCTAGAACTCGAAGATCCAGAACTGCTATCTGATGAGCTACCAAATAATTTTACATATATTCGTCAATATATAATAAAATAATAAGTATTGAATAGTTACAACAATCATCGAAGAAAAAGTCTAATTTCTTTCTCTGCAAGAGCTTTTGAGTATGAAAAATTATTTCATCCAGATAGAGCCAAATGATTCGAAATTTATAATAAAGATTAAATTCGGTAGTAAATTTAAATTTACATACTTTTAATATTTTTACATTACTCACCTTGAACCACTACTGGAAGAAGAAGCCGCTCGTTTTTTCCGTTCTTTCTCTCTACCTCTCTCCTTCTTATTCTCTTTGTCTGTAGCTTCGGAGTCACTCTTGCCTGTACTATCCTTTCGACTTCGGGCCCTAAATAATAAACAGCGAGTGTGGAGCAGAGAAAAAGAGAAAGAAGATTAAAATCAATATAAATATTACGTAATTGCTGACTGCATGTAATTAAGTTACTCACATAATTAGCAACGAGAGACTTTCTTGACTTCCAGAATGAAAGATCTCGGGATGAAAGCTTTAAGACGAAGCCGGATGATACGCCAACCGTATTAGCCGCAAGCACGCCAGAAATGGCGGACTACCGGGATACGAAGCCGACCTTACTTATGCCGAACGTTCTGTCACAAGTAACACACCTCGCACGCACGAAATAACGTTAGTCGTAAGAGAGAAACGTCCAGATGAGATTTTGATCATACGACGCTACCACGCTATCGAATTATTTTATTAAAAACACCTTGGCGCGCATTAAGAACAAACAATCCACTTACCATGGAACTGTCATGGCGCTGATGTCGCCAAAATTCACCATCCGACGATCCAGCCCAACCCGTGTGGTGTGGCGTCATCAACACATTAATGGTCGCGTTCAGCTGCTTTCACATGCAGCATAACTTGCGTAGTAAGGTTGAAATCTTAATATTTGGATGCGTTCCGATATTCACTGTCAGTGGCCCAGTTTCTCACCGAGGGTTTAAATCGGATCAGAATGTAAAAACCAATCAACTACAGTTGAGTATTCGCCTGTTATAGTCGAACAACAGGAGAATGCTCGACTGTAGTTGGTTAGTTCTTATATCTTTTTAACAATAAATATTGGAACGCACCTTATTTAGGCCCTGCGCACAATAGAAGAAATAAGGAATTAGGAATAAAGAATAAACGATTTCAACCTATCAAAAATCGGATACATCGGAATACACAGTTTCTGATAGGTTGAAATCGTTTATTCTTTATTCCTAATTTCTTATTCTTTTTATTATGAGCAGGGCTTTATTCCTGTTTCTAATATTTGTTCTACTATGCCCTAAGTAACAACTAATCGTATTTATTTGCTCGGCGAGCAAACTAGCTTTGTCGATTTGAGTGCGGCCATCGTCTTTGTTTTATTATGTCTCTCCTCTATCAATTTTTTTTCTGATTTATTGAATATAATTTTATATTTATTAATAAATTATTTTTTTATATTAAATTTTTACAATGGGCGCCAGACAAAGCTGCTAGCCTGCTTGCCGAGCGATTGAATGTGATTGGTTGGATCTATAATAAGTAACAGTCAATCATATTCATTTAGCAAGCAGGCCTAACCGCTTTGTCGACTTGAACGCAACCTATGTTTTTTTTTAGAATTTATTAGTATTTTTATACAATAGTTGCGTTCAGCTACGTTAGACTCAATAGTTGAGTAAGCACTGTTATTGGTGTATTCTTTTAGATCATCCAATCAGCATTTTAGATATGGTAGAATACATCAATGGATGCATTCAGAACAACATCCGCTCACTGAACATTCAATAAGCTCTTTTATCTGATTGATATATTCCACTAGATCCTAAAATATAGACCAATCAGATAAAAGAGCTTACTAAGCGCTCAGTGAGCAGTTGTCGTTCTGAATGTATCGAATAGCGGACTCGACAGTTAAGTGAGCGCTTGTTGCTATTGATATATTCTTCCAAATCTAAAATGCTGATTGGATGATTTAAAAGAATACACCGTTGATCAATCAGAATCAACCGCTGATACGCGCAATGACTGCGTTCAGCAGAACGTTTATTTTGCGCTGTTGAAAGTTTTCTTCGCGCTGATTGGATTATACTTTTAGATCTAAAAAAATTATTCTATTTCAGCAAACAACAATTATAAAATGGTTGCAAAACTGTTGTATTCTGCTGAACGCAGCCAATATATTTTTATTTTTGTTGGTTTTATTAGTACTATAGAAGGGAAACGAAAAAAATCAACTTTCGATAGTTTCGCAATTGGACGTTAGATTTCTCAGTTGTCGCAATTACTTTTGAACCGCTTAGCTGTGCTTGCTATAAATTTAAATGGATAAAATGTTGTTATGAGATGTAAAGGATTAAATTGATTATTTGTTTATTTGGCTTTATTATTTAATTTTGTTCTTTTGATTTTATTCAAGTTCGAGTAATATAGTATCCACAATGACATTTCAAGTTCCTATTAAACTTTCATCGAGGAATCCTGGTGCTTCATATCCTCATGATTTACAATTGTATCAGAACGTACCATTTGGAGAGATAACGTTAGAAGAGCTACAAGAAATAAGTGAAACACGGCTCAAAGGTTAACTCTGAATTTTGCACCTTATTTCCTTTTATTTAGCATATTGTTATTTATATATTAATAAAATAATTTTTTTTATGATTAATGTGTTTTTGTGTGTTGTAGTTCTTTCTTTAGTCGAACGTATTCATTTACAAAAACTGACAATGTCGATATCACAACGCAAAATTGCCTTAGTTGAAGAGTTACACAAACAAGGGCTAGACGAATTTGAAAGATTGATTAAAAGCTCCGGATGCAAATCATGCACTGACATGGATATACGTGTTAGAAGAAGAGATCATATATCTCATTTTATATTAAGGTCCACAGTTGCTTTCAATGAATCCAAAAAGCGTTGGTTTTTTAAGCAAGAGGCAAGGCTATTCAAATGGAGATTTTCTTCATTAGATAATGAAGGAATCAGGCAGTTTATGTGCATTAATAATTTTGACTTTAGCCCAGTTAGTTATTGCTTGTTGTAATATTTAGATATAACTTTCTTCAAATCTTGGGTTAACAATATTTTCTGTTGGTTTTAGATTAGCCAAAATGAAAAAGAAAATATCAGAGAACATCTTCAAATGTCTCCCAATATTAATGATGTTGATAACACACAATTTTATAGGATACCTTTCTTTCACATAGCCAATTTAATTAGAAAGCGTAAAGTTTTTGTTACGCAAGGTGAAGCTTTTGTACCGGAACAAGAAATGGCATTTGTGTTTGTGTCATATTTCCGAAGAATTCTCATATCAAGTTTTGAAGTATAAATGTGATTACTATGAATCTGTCAATCAACTTACTATTTTCTATTCTGTTGTTATATTTCAGGTTGCACGTGAAATTAGAGCCAACTTATATAATGATGAAAGGTTTACTCATATCTTTACCTATTTAGAAAATAATATTCTTATTCAGAATACTGTATTACGAGAACAAGAGATGCAACAATATATTTCACTCAACAAGTTGGATGAGGTAAAAATTAATATTATAAATGCTTTTGTAATTAATAATGATTAAATCTAATGACAAAGCAATATCTTGTAATAAGTTTGACATGCTAAATCTTTGTAAAAAAAAAAGGTTTTACTATATATAGCTTGCAGAAACTTCTTATCCTCTGTGTATGAGAGTGCTTCACAAAGCGCTGAGGAAGGATCATCATCTTACACATGGTGGTAGAATACAATATTGTTTGTTCCTAAAGGGCATGGGACTTTCGTTGTCCGATGCAATGACTTTTTGGAAAGATGAATTCATGAAAATAATGGACGATACTGCATTTAAAGAACATATATATTACATAAGATTTAACTATGGGAAAGAAGGTAGTCGTCGAGATTATCAGCCTTATAAGTGTCTAAGAATTCTGGAATCAATTGTTGGACCTAGAGATTATCATGGATGTCCTTTTAAACATATGCTGCACGATACACTTGAAGAGGAACTTACTGATTGCGGTTTTAATGCATCGGGTAAGTATCCTAATATTAATTTATATGTAGAATCATAAAATTAATTCTTTTATGTATTAACTAATTTATTATCTAGAAAGATCAGCAATAATGAAATTGTCCAAGGACGGTCAATATTTTGCAGCATGTAATAAATATTATGAAATTAAACATGACTGTCTTAACGATACCTTGTTTGAACATCCAAATATATATTTTAATGAGAGTATGAAACATCGCACTGCACATCATCATGGTAAGATTTATTTGATTTTATGTATATCAAACAATTTACTATTTTGTATAAACTTTAAAATTATATTAAAATTAAAGATTCAGAAACAGGAGATGCATTTTAGTCATCAGAATCAGAACATTTGAAGAAGTTAGAACTATTAGGACCGTTACAAGTTATATTTAATATCATCAACAGTGTATATTTTTTATACAGATCCCTGAATGTAAATATATATATATGCTAATTTATTTAAAATTGAAATATAAAATATTTCTAAAATAATTTCTCAAGAGGGATAAGCAATTAACATTAGCTAATTTCATCTTGCTAATAACTTATTAAAGTTAATAAGTTTTTAGCAACTTTGTAATTTTAAATTCAGATTATCAACTCAATTACCATAATGAATGAACAATAAGCATTTCTTAACAGTGAAAAAAAATTATTTCCAATTTCAAAATTAAAATTTAATTATAGCGCTTTTAAGTTAATTTTAATAACTTATATATTTAAATAGCTCATATATTAAAATTTATGAAGCATAACGTGAAACATTGTAAAACCACGTGCATTGAAACATCTTTATACACACAATATTTTTAGTTAAAACGTACTTTAATTTATTTACTTTATTTAATTTATTAAATGAAATGTTTTTTTTACAATTAGATGATGAATTTAAAAATGTGTTTAGTGATAACGTGACTTTTTCCGTTTTTTCTTACAACAAAATAACAGGCTTAAGACAAAAACAGAAAGTATCACATAAAAAAAATGCCACGATACAACACAGTATAATTTACTATGTTTCATGATTTTTATTCTGTAGATTGCTGCGGCGATACGTAAGTACCGAATGATATATGTATGTACATTTAAGTGACAGAAGTAACGAGCAATATTTATGTACAAGTACATCGAATATAAACACTTAACACTCGCCACACCTTACACATTATTATCTTAGTTAATTCGTAACGTTGTACCGTTGTCTCATTAAATGCTATTTTAAGCAAGACTACATGATTGAAGAATACGGGAAATTTTTGGCACAGTTCGTCATCTTAATAGAAATAAAACGAGTTTGTTAAATAAATCCTAAATGTAGCTTATCAAGAAATACGGAAGAAATGCTTATAATCCTCATTATAATATTGCAGTCTGTAGTCAAGCAGTTGTTATACCAAATGTAAAAGTTGTTTTTAATCTAAAAAATATTCGATGTTTGACGTCAAAATGATATGTGTCGTGTAACACTAAGTCGATTCTCGCGCAATCCATCGTGAATCGAGTGCGTACGCAAAATTCAATTAATATCACGTTGCAGCCTGTAGCAATCTAATTATAGCCGATAATTATTGGCTTCCTATACACATACACGATAGAGAAACTATCATGCAATTTCAAAAGCGGGTTATATCACAAATTTAATAGCAGCGATGGATGCAGTAATGGATTTATGCAATACATATATTACAATTCTCTTTGTTTTTTAACAAAATCAAAATAGTTTTTATTTTACGTTCGCGCATATTATGAACAATCACCCCTGTGTACATTTGAGA